CTAAATTGGTGCACGGGCAAGTGGTGTCAAAGTGCGCTGGACCAGAATGCATTTAAGGAGCAAAGCTGACTCGACGGCGCTTCGACTGACCACTTCTATGCAACTTGGTTCACAATGCCAATATTTGTTTTCGTGGTTATTCCTAAGGAATACGGGGAGGATGTGAACGAAGTGGTGATGTGAGAATAGGCTATGCGGTTTCGTATTTGTATCGCAATCATCAACATACAGACTCCGACGACGGATAAGTGCTTCTAAACAATAACATAACGGTCAGATAAGGGTGGAAGAAAGGTTGTCCAACGATTTTTCAGTAGGAATACAAACCGTGGTAGTGCGGCTTATCGGGGCTTTTGAATTTGATAATCGGAGTTTGCAGCAATATGTGTCAGAAAATTTACCACAGCGATAACTTGCTTGTGGTGGACAGTATGGGTGAGAACCCACCTGTGTGCGCGCTGTGGTCTAGGATTTGTCAATCGGTTGTGTGAGCCAATGAGTTTCGCGCTTAGTTGACTACGTGAATCTCAGTATCTGCGAGGATTAGATATTACCTAGAAATGCAGCTTCTCAGTTCCATGTTAATGAAATATTGCCTTATCAGTGAATATGTTGGAATGAACGCTCAAGACTGTGACGGAAGAATAGGCTGTCCGGCAGCGAGTGGTCTTTAGGCGGCATAGCTTTTCATGACTCCTCGCTCAAAACGTTACATTTCCTATTTGCAAGGACTAATTGTATGGAATGCCTATTTTGCTAAGATGGGTTGTTGGAAGCTAACTTTCAGTCTACAAGAGCCAATAACCCTTTGTCATTAGCTGGGATAACACTTAGCGCCTATTGAACACGCCTTGCTCAGGTCAGTTAGGTCTGGCCAACCCCCACCGCATTTCTAACGCAATAGCCCATTAAGACTGCACTACTGTCTCGATTTTGCACACCTGCATTTGTTCCAACCAACCGAAACCGGGTATGTATCGATTGGGGAACTTTCCCTGTGGCCTGCCGTAGTTAACTTCGATGCAACTATCCGCGCCTATCCAGCGTTTTCCCGATGGAGGGACTGGAAATTACACCTGTACCCAGGTACACTTGCCTACGGCCATTACTCCGGTCGTTCACACCCATGTGACCGGGTGCGAGTCATTTTGAGATAGACCAACATCTACTATTGGACAGTTGACAATTAAGTGCGATCTCCCCTCACCCGTAGGAATGATCCTTAGTCCCTGAGTAAGAGAGTAAAAAGGGACAATACTTCTGGGACTTACTGTATTGTGCTGCATAATACCTCCGTAATAACCTTGGATTTCAAGTAGAAACTTCTAAAGCTGACATTGTACATGCCTTTGTTGCGACAACTTTGAGGGTTTTTACTACTGGCCGAAGCCATTTTATAATGATAACTTGTTGTTGCATTATGCAAACTGGTTTTTGGTTGATTTCCTCTTCGCTGACCATTCTCGTACAAGTGTTTCTATGCTGCTGTACTCCCCGGTCATCGCTGGGGCACTACCATTGTTAATTCCAGGAAAGTTTTCTATTTCATTTTTATGTCATTGCTTGCAGATGCAGAATAAATAATTCTGTTTCTCTTGTTTTGTCTTAAAACCCTTCAGATCAAAAGATTACTCACAAGTATTATATCGTTTGATCCTTTCACAAAATGCAAAATATAGACAATGTCAGATGCATCAGTGCTTACAGCAGGGGCTATCAAAAATATCGGCTTTTTCTCAGGCTGCTTTTGTCTCTTAGCATCAAAATTTTCTTTAACTCTGCACACCACAGTGTTGTGTGCCAGACTAAAATTGGTAAGCACTTTTTCTGAATATAGATATTGTTCACAATATTCTTCAAACATCCCTTGATAAATTCCTTTTTAGTATATATTTTGCAGTGTTTAGCTATTCGTTTTGCCACCTCATAATTTTCCTTTTCATATATTCATTCGACCGACTGATTCATGTAAACAAGCTTTCCTATGAGGTTATTGCAACTTTCAGCGGCTTTACTTTCTCAACTCGTTTATTGTCAGTGAACTGGTCATAGTCAGCATGCTTCGTTTGGTATTGCTTCTTGGCAGTGAATTCCTTCAAAACAGTCCCACTCTCCAAACAAATCAAGCACAGGTGCTTGTGCAGTCGTTCAGTGAAAATGTATTCCAGTTTCCGGTTTTGCTGGAAGCTGCGCACTTCGTCATAATCATCACTATTTTAGTCCTAGTATCCATTCCAGAACAGGAATGACAACCAAATAAATAAAATGTTAACGAATCTCCAATTTTTAACTTTTTCGTTTATTTAAACCCTCTTTGTCCTAGGGGGTGTAAGCAGAGTTGAAAAATTTAGCTTTTTGTGGAATTAATTAATCAGAAACTTGAAACTGTTTTGTCTAAGGAACTATCTTAAAAGGAATTATAGCGCACTAAAATTTGGAGGGGCTGACCTATAAAACAAGGATCCGGTTCTCAGAAAGGGATAGCTTTTTATACATATTTATATACATATTTATATATTTAAGTTAATGAACCCATCTTTAGGTATTTTGCTTTTCTTATATCCCACTCTGGTAAAGCAATAGATTGGCATTTCTTTGTCGGTCAAAGACTAACAATACTATATCATTGATTTTTTGCCATAATCTGGCGCCATTGATTTTTGTACTCATAACATAATTAATTTTTTTGCCTATATGATGTCCTCAGTACGGAAAAAATGCAAACGAATTTATTGTTTCATGAGGAGGCTGCGGGCCAATTGGAATGTCAACGCGAGCCGCATTTGGCACGCGGGCCGGACTTTGGACATCTCTGTGTTAAGGCTACTATGTCAGGAAAGCCTATCCCGCATGTGTCCACACGTAAAAGGCGGCGCAAGAAATGTCATACTATTTGTTTTGTTCCTTACACGTGTATACGTGTGGAAGTAATGTTGAAAACTCGTATTCATATACTTTGGTTTGTGAAAAAGCAGATAGAGGTCACGCGAAGTTAGTATGGACTATTTTCTTGGCGCAAAACATAATTTTCATGATAGCGCATAAGAGCTGATTGAGTGTTGAACAGAAGGCGAAAGTTGTGGTGTTTATTTTTTTACAGAAATGGGTATCGTAGCGACACGAAGACGTTTTTGTGCACAGTTTCTTACGAAATGGGCTTCATGTCAACAGAGTATTCAGAGATTGTATCGTCGATTTGAAACAACTGTCTCTGTAGTGGAGAAGAATTGAAGGCGCAGAACAAATGTCCGCTACCATGAAAACATCCGAAGCAGTAAGGGTTGCTTTGACATGAAGTCCTAGCAAATCAACAAGGAGGAGGGATGCTGAGTTAGGAATAGCTCGTCAGTCCATACAAACGATTCTGCATTCTAATCTTTAATTGCTCGCTTATAAGCTAATATTCGTCCATCAATTAACAACAGAGGACAAGCAACGGAGACATCAGTTCGCTTCATGGTTAGAGCAAGATGATCACGTTCTGTACAAGACATTGTTTACTGACGAACCTTATTTTCATTTAAATGGTGTAGTGAATAAACAGAATGTTCATTTCTGAGCAAGGAAACATTCTCAGATTCTGCACGAAAGGGTAAATTAAGGAGCAAAGGTTAGCGTATGGGCAGCGATTTCATCCCATGGAATCATCGAACCCTATTTTTGATGTGACGGTAAATAAAAGTCGATATCAGGACATGTTGGAAAACAGGTTTATTTCAGTACTCTTGATAACAGGTTGCCAAGTGCAAACGCAATGGTTCATGCCAGATGGAGCCGGTCCACACACTGCTTATGTTGTTCTTGATTACCTGTATGACAAGTCTGATAGGCGGACAATATCACGACGGTTTCCTGAGCGCCACCAACGTGGGAGACAATGGCACCCTCATGGTCCTGACATCAATCCACGTGATTTCTTCTTCTTGGACTACTTGAAAGATAATGGCTTTGCAAGGAAGCTTGCAGTGCAAGCTCAACTCAGGGCTCTCACCATGTAATCGCGCCGTCTAATTTTGGAAGACATTTGCAGGAAGGTTTGACAAATGTAAAGGTTTACTTGCAAGAAGTTTTGAAACAAAATGGTGATCACGTTGAACACATACTACATTGAACTAAATTTCCATGCACATACAATTAATTTTGCACTAACTTTGTAATCTTTTGAGAATAAATATATGTGCAATGAACAAAACAAATGGTATGGCATTACCTACGCCACCCTGTATGTGTTACGCATCTACTGGCAAACAAATGGATCGAATCACCCGAATGTTCTCCTCAGAAGATCAACTTGTTTGTTTCCCGGTTTTTGAGATATTATCAGTTTACTCCGAACAGCCGTGGTCAGCCAGAATAAGTAACCCAAAGTTAGCTTTTGGGTGACCGAAATTAACGTGAAAAAGCAAAGGGGAAACAAAGCTGCATCTGGTGCTTCTTTTTGATATCAGTAAATGAGTGTCTTGGGTAGTTTATGTAATCCAAGAAGGAAGCAAAATTAAACTTCCAGATATCCGGCTTACTGAATTTCGAACAATTCACGAGCTTTCATTCACTGAATCGAAGTACAGTTTTGTTAGTTGATGCTATCACTCAGGATATTCTCGGCGAAGCGAGTCATTACAGCTGGGCTAATTACAGCTGGACGCCTAGACCAAAATACAAAAATGAAACATGTAGCATTCCACCTAAACCGTTTAAATGATTCAGGTCGACTGAGGTGGTCGACTACCTATACGTAACTTCTTGCAACTTGCTTGTGCCTAGAATTTTGCATTGTAGACTCGTTTCAAAGGCCGCCATGCATCTGCTTTGGTAGCAAAAATCAAAACACTGCAGCTAAGTGCTAGTACTGATCCAGAGCACCCACTGAGAAACACACTGATTACAGTGAATTACCTGATTTGGCTGCCTATTATTGTGGATCGCCAACTACGTCAATCCTGAGCGCACCCACTAGTTATTAATTCAGACGCGCTTCTCTCCTGCTTTTTCTCTTCAAGGGCTATTGTTTTTCGTGCCTCCGGACCAATTTTCAAACAGGAATCCGTTCATAGCGGCCTACGTTGATTCTCAGAGTTATTTGGTAATCGTCTGTCGAGTCGGCATCCGTGACATAACAAACTCTTTCGCAGCGACAGAATCTCATCGGCACAGCAATATCATTCGACTGCGATATTCGGTTCCGGTTCAAGTGGGACACTGGTATACACTGACGATCGACAAACGCTCCAAACGGATAAGCGTTACACTGGATGGAAAAGTCAAGGAGCAAATGCGTTTGGTTGGTTTTACGAAGCGTTCCTCATTTAAATTCCTTTGCATCTAAATTCACCCATCATTTTGCATTTCATTTCTGGCAGATTTAATTTTTGCTAGCTTGTGTCATCAACGTTTGCAGAATTTACTGAACCATAACATCCTAAGAATGCAACGGATACAGAAGCACTACCACTATTGCAGTAGCGTCTAACAGCGCCGCGGCTTTTTTCTAGCCAGCATATTTGAAAGGCGTGTCTACAATATTCTGGGAATGGCGTCAGAAAATAAAGGAAACATGAGTCACAGAAAATACCTTTACTGGCCTTCAAAGTAATCACCATTAGCTACATCACAATTCTGACATCAGTTGTAAAGCTGTTTGGAACTATCGATTAAAGCTTCGTGTGGAACCGCTCGAAGCACGGTTTGGGAATGTTAATCCACCCAGCGCTAATCAAAGACAAAGAAAAAGAAAGATGACTTCCAGCGCTAAATTTAGATAATAAAAACAGCGTTGAAGAACAGTCACTTTAATTACAGTAAGTTGATTAGTCGGATCACGGTGTGCGGAAGCGTTTTCATGAAGGAAATGCTACTGTCCACTCCGGTACATTCCTGACGGTACGAATCAGGAACAATTACTCCCTTTTTATACGTTCGTGAACAATGCGGTTTACGTTTTCTTTGCTTTTCTGTAACTCTTCTGCTATCATTCTCCAAGACAGCCGCCGATCACACACGAGCACGCGTCGCACTCGTTCGAGGTTGTCTGCGACGAGACCTGTTAACGGTTGATCCGAAGGCCGATTGTCCTCTGTACCTTCCTTTCCGTCTCCAATCCCTTTATACTACTCAAACACACACTGTCCAGTCACTGCTTCAACAAGGGTACATCTGCTGCGTTAACATTAGTCTCCGTCACCGTTTTACTTACTTCGAGCCAAAATTTCATGTTGTCTAGTCACTGAAGTTATAGACTTTTAGTTTCCATCATAAATGGTGGAACGGCAAACTACGACGCAAAGCGCCGGTCGCTCTGTTTTGAAAAAAAGGTCCACAGTGAAAATCAGCCTGCTGTGATAGCACAATGTGCCTCAATTCCTCACCACTGGATATCAATAAATGTCACATAATCCATCCTTTCTAAAACGACCACTGGTTGGATTTGCGAGATGAAATTGAATGTGTGAAATCCCGGTATTATCTCTGTATCTTCTGAGACCTTAGTCCCAGAAATCATGCGGTTTGTCTCCCTTTCGATTCCAGTAACAACAGTGGTAAAATAGACGCATTTCAATCCATTGATGGTGGTACAGAAGTCGATTAGGCGGTAATGGGTACACAATCCTGGTGCACTTGGGGTATTACTATAGCGGCACTGAATGGGAAAACTGAATGATGTCAGCAGTACCATCAGTTTAGCAAACTAGGTTGGATTTATCCCACGAAATGTGGTAAATATAGCTATCACGACTCACATTCAAGCGAGACAATACTTGACGGTGCTAGGTAGACGAAGTTGAAAACACAGCGGGTTACATGGGAAAGCTTCTGACCGACATAAGTGCGTAAGAGTTATCTGATTAGAAAACCAGCTGCGAGGCACATCCAACCGATTCCAAGAGTGCCATTCACTCCGCGATTGGTCCATTTTGCATACAGCCTTTAAACGGTGATGTGGCCAACCAAGTCAATCTGTTAATTTCTCCATACTTATCCAACAGACGATCAAATAGCCACCCCCACGGTCTTTCTCGGACAGGCGCGGTGACGGTAAACAAGTCCCACTAAACCTAAGTGGCACTTCACACATCCAGTATAAGAGGTACACGTTCCTCGATAATCGCTGCCCCAACAGTGAATTCTTTTCCAACTACCAACTGGCGGAGCTCAACAACGCCAACCAGATGTGAACAACGCCCAAGGGCTTTGGTGGCCACGTCCCTGATCCATACGGTAACGCCGGTCTTGCCTCAGGGTTGTCTCTCTGCAATTAACCGATAGGTTCATATTCCATAGCGTCTGTGTATGACTAGAAAAGCCAATTGTTGCACGAGCCCTGTTTTACTTTTCTGATGCTCTGATCACCATGACTAATACAGTTAACTAACTGACTTAATTGACCACTTGACTTGCTAATGTGCTTAATAGTCTTGGTGGCGTGCGAACTCACTACCCACTGACGCACCTCGCACGTTGATTCGCGGATGGCTCAAGGAAGCAATAATTTTTTCGCTAGTCTCTTCAAAAGCGAGTATATAGAGGATGCATCAGGTCCAATGTTAAGTAGTAGTTGTTAGTTACATCATTTAGTCGCTACGATCAAAAGTTATCCAAGCTCTTGGATTTTTATCTTTCACTTAATTACACCGCTTCTGCTTGGACATGTCTTGTTTACTCGCTCAGCTAACAAACTGAAGTATTTCGAACAGCGTGGAGATAAACTACTAGTAAGTATCGATAATTATCCAAAGTAATTTGAAGACCTAGTGCAGAATCAGGATAGTATTGACCCCTCCTTTAACATGCAGATTACGCTGCCGACATTTGGTGGTTGCTTTGTCCGCTAGCACATAATTGCAATGGACCAAGTTTACTCTCATATTGCCAACGAGTGAGGTAAACATGATGGCAAGTAAGTCAACGAGATAATATGAACTTATCTAACCTAAATTGTTTCTGGTCTGCTTTTCAGGTCCCATTGATTCTCAAGAAGCCGAACCAAAAAGTGAGCTGTGTATTTGTTAACAAAAGAAACAGGGTAATATTTTCTATTTCCCCAGAAGAATTACGTTTGCTCTTGTACTATAGGTGCATCGTGGATATAGAATAAAGGTAGGGAAACGCTTCACTTGACAAATCGCACCGTGTAGCACGGTGTTAACTTTGTGCTTAAACGCTGACCATGGAGACTGACAGGAGAGCTTTGCGAAACATGTCCCTCTACATCCGTTTCTTATGTAATCAAAGATGTATAGAAAATCCGAATAATTGATATACTTCCCCTTAAACGTCGTTCGTAGATAAATCAAAAAGACTATGTGCCTCGGGAAGTGGAAGTAAGTGTTTTCCAGACAAAGGTAGCCTTCAACCGGCTAGCAGTCACTGAGCGGTGCAATGCGTGGAGAAAACTACGGACTGAGCGAGAACTTTTCATGTTCCACTGAAGTTTGTCGCCTAGTCATTTCATGCCTTAAGTCGTTATGCATTGATGCACACATCAAAAGCTGAGGTCAATGTAAATTGCTCCTAGGCAAGCTTTTATGAGTTACGGCGACCTTTACTCCCAAGCACAAAATCCATGTGTTCTTCGAAATCGCCCCTCGAATGATGATGATAAGCGACAATGATTCTTCCCTAAATTAACCTAACAGAAAGGAATCGGACTGTAAGCAGCGCTTAGTCTCTGATCAACTGCCCACAAGTTATCCCCTCGTGGAAGTGTGGGGTGTGCCTGTGATTGTTTCCAAACGTTGGGTACTAGCAATGCTAAGCGCATAATTGGCATTTTCACTGCCATCAATGCAAGGCTCAATATAGTCAACCATAACCTCACCAACAATTTGATCAAGCGAGTTAATAGCTTATCTTGCAAACAATTAACTAGGCTCTAAGTGGGCGTGCTAACCATTTTACTGTTTGCGCAAAAGGAACGAAAATATATATAAATCCGATAAATGCGATCAACATTGTTTGATTACTGAGGCTAACTTGTTCACTCAGATGATCCCAGCTTTGACCACGGTGCCTAAATATACGCACCACGCAATACTCGAAATTTTATAATCAGACAACTAGCCAGTGTTTAATGTGCACTAGTTAGTTTTGCCAGTTTATCAGCAGCAACCGTGTTCTTCATGAAACTAGATTGTGCATATGCAGGTTGCACACATCGTCCCGTGAATAGTTCAGAATTTCACGCATACACCAATGCAGCAAGAAGCTATTGTCCAGCTGGTATTCTGTACTTTATCCTTTGAATATCATTCGGAAAACGAAGTTGGTAAACATCCACACTTATTTGGTTTAGATCAGAGGTCTAGTATGTAATGGCTTATGATTTTCAATTGAAACATATTGTGGTGGATTCCGAGAAACAAGGAAATTCGTGTAAGGCCTTGTTTTCTTGAAATTTGACCAAATGAGCACCAATAATTGATAAAGTGTTTTTTCCTGCGAAACCAGTTCGTGAATTATGTATAGCGATTGATGGAACCACCCATCTGCTAATCACTAATACTTGCCAATGACAGTTTTAATCATCTGTTGCGTAAGTATTGCCATATCTAGTACTTACTCGAAGAGGTTTAAAATACGATAATATGACTCATGCCGCGCACCAATGACTGAGTGCACTTAATTTACCAGATCGGTTCCTATCCCAGTACATGTTGCTGATAATATGTTTAAGATAGTACCCCCGTTGCTTGCAGTCAATGTGAAACGTGCTTAGTAGACACCATGGTGAAAGACATGAAACATAGCAAGCAAATTTTATGTAGGATTTGGCGACTCTGTGCGAGGGTCTGCGAGCGGTTATTCAACGCAGAAAGGGGATGACATGAAGTCATGCAAGTGACTTTACATGGCACTCAATGTCGCAAGCAAAGTGATTAGCTAGTTGATGAATCTCAAGGCCACAACTGTTGTGTGCCTTACAAGCCAGGCGATCCGTAAATCAAGTGTGTGTGCATAAAGACGACTAACTGAAAGGGATGATATAACCAAAGAGGTTGTATCAAAAAGAATTGGCTGCACACAACCACGTTGATATTACGCGCATCCTCTCTTTCAGCTCTTTACCTTCGACATATCCAAAAGCCCAATCTACTTGGGTGGATTTCCGTTTCCATTAATACCAACATCAGTCATAAGCATCAAGAAAGGCTTGGTTGGAGCAATACAAAAGGCAAGTTCTTCAGTTACTATTAAATGGTCAAACCCCAAAATGGTCTAATCCCAAAGACTCTCTGAATCATTAAACAAACAGGTAGTCTATATAACAAGTGGTTGCGTTAATGAAGCTCAAACTTCTGTATTCCTAGAGTATGCATGCTTGTGCTTGTAGGTAATCACGCAAAAGTCTCGACTTATGAACCGCTAAGATAAATATCCCAGATATCGGTGGGCTAGATAAACCATCATTTGATATTTCTCGCCAACACTGTGTTCGGTTTCCTCATTCATTAGTAGCGGTATGGGGTATCTAAATAACGATGAAGAGTTGCATCGGGTATCATTGCAATGTATACAATCTACCTGTTTTGTAACAACAATTGGCCCACCCACCGATTTTGTTTTCTTTATCGTCTGAGACTTCATACTAAGCACCTAAGATGCCAGCGGATTGTGGTTTGGGATAAAGAGAGGAATGCGCGTTAGCGCTAACACTGTACGTACTTAAAGGAACAAATAACCGTAGAAAATGTTACTTTGACTACGCTTTGTTAGCGTCAGCCGAGTTGCTGCTAGTTATCTGTTTCAATGGCAACATGCGGCGGATGTAACGTAAGAATGCTAATGAGGGAAAATTCGATTTGCCTCACCTTCCAAATTTCCATGTGAAGATGAGAGCTCTGAGGTAAGCTTAGTCATGCGAAAATGTTATTGATATGCTTAATGACAGCAGGTAAAGAATAAGTTAAATGAAGATTACACTGCGTTTAAGACAGTAGGATGCTTTGGACACTGATTCATGGTACACCATCAAGTCTTGCACGAACCAAAACGGGGTGCGATAGAGGCGAAGAGAATTGCCAACAATTTGGTTCGGTAGCCTAACTAATGATTCCCATACGCATATGGGAAGTCGCCTCCGAGGAATAAGAATCGAACAAACGGGCGATAGCAGACAGTACCATAAGTTTCAATAAGTTAGAGCTCGCTGCCAAAAGGTCACTGGGCTTCATCAGGTATGAAGAGAAGGAGTGTTGGATGTGACAGAGGCAGATGAAACTTAGATCAGGTCCATTTTACGTCATTCTAGATAGGGCGCTGTGCACCATCTTATATAAAGTCATGTACGTCCACTGAGTGGCCGAATACTGTCAAATCAGCTTTTAATAGACAAAAGACTATACACGGCAGTTTCAAAACGGTGTGAAATAACTCGAGAGACTACAGACGAAATTTGTTTCCCAGGATAGACAGCTTCAAACTACCAGATACACATTACAGATATACATTATCACTGATATTGATCAAAAGTACAATCAGCCTAATTGCCACAAAATTTCTTCCCAATGAGCAACGTTAGAAAAAATCTTATTCACGCACAGACTCCCTTCCGTTAAACAGTATTTCCGTCAAACATCTGGTGCATAAATGACTGGGAATTCGACCGTAGAAATAACATCTAGACGAACTTGATTACTGCTGTTCACGTAGAAAAATAAAAGCGTTGAAAATAAACGGTATATAGTTTAACATCAATTTCAAATTATTAATACTTGTAACAAAACCCAGGAGTTGATATCAGAACAAATGTTAGCGAACAAGCTCGTTTTCAGTGGTTCTTCATCAAGCTAATACGCCACAAATGAATGACCTGAACGAAACATCAGATAAGGGTAGAGGTTCAAAACCCAGATGGTCTGACTGACCAAGCTAGATGATTGGCCCCGCGGCGATCAACAGTGTGTTTGTGTGTGTGGGCGTTGTCAACACCACGTGTCGGTGTTATATGGGACCAGGGTAGAGTTAGTGCCTGGACAAATTTCTTGTGCACACATAGGTCAGGGTCATGTATCCTGATGCCTATTGCCTTGGCCGCTGCCAGAAGACGACATTTAACCGCACTTGTGTGGCATTTGGGTACGCGGTAGTTGGGCTGGAACATATCTTGCGCTCTGACCTGGTGGCTCGAGTTGACCAGTGGTGTAGATCTTGGAATTATGTCCAAAGTTATTGATTCATGGTCGGCCGTAGGCTTGCTATATGCTACGTTAGCGCGATGGCGTCGGAAAGTCTTCTAGACGTCGATTGAGCTATCCTGTCCCTTTTGAACAGTAACGATAAGTAGGTCGGTTACTTTTCTACTGGAACCACTTTTGCTTCCACTTCTCATACTTCCATGTTTCTCCGGATGAACCTCTCCGCATAGCCATTTCTATCGAATTGGCTTCGTACAAACTTTAGCTGGTCCGGAAGTATGTCCTCGCTACATATCCTTCTTGCTCGCTCGGTTAGGCACCGCACAAGTTTCCGTTTCTAGTTGAGCGGAACGAAGCTGGCAAAATGAGCCTATTGCCCGTTCCAGGTTGTCTTTCTATGGACACTGTACTGGATAGACTCGTCAGATCTTAGATTAATCTGAACGTCTAAGTACGACATTGAGTTGTTGCACTCAAATTCAAGGGTGAAATTTATGTTTGCATGGACTAGGTTAAACTGCCTCACTAATTCTTCCGTGCAAAGATGACTATCTGAGATGTAGAATATATCGTCCACGTACCATCCGTAGTAGAGTAATTTGTCGATAACTCACTTCAAATAGTTATTCTCTAACTTACTCAGAAATGTGTCTTCTAACAACTATCCTAAGGAAGAGCCCATTGCTACCCCGTCCTTCTGTCTGCAGATCTTCCCATCGAACAGGAATTGTACGCTTCTGGTACACATTAGAAACAACTGTTTAAGTCGCTCGTTTAAGAGGCCGACATTCACATGGTCCAATCGAACAGCGTCGCATAGATAGTCGATCGTCACCTCCAGCAGAACGTTGGTAAAGAGGCACACTACCTTTAGAGAAAACACTTTCCTTCCGGTTAGTTGCATATGGCTTTTGGAGTCTACGATGCTAAATGTATCTCTGAGGCTGTGTTTGGATCGGACTTTCTGATCGGTTCTGGAAGCACAGGAATATACTTCGATATGCAAAATATTTGTCTCTTTTCAATCAAGAATTATCGGAAAAATGACTGGAAGACTGTCCGAGAGAACCAGGGAACACGGTCCAGTTTGGCTGTATAGCGGTGTGAATAGATCAGTGGCAAGCGCAGTATCTACTCACCTGGTCAACTTGAGTCACCAGGTCAGAGCGCAAGATATGTTCCAGCCCAACTACCGCGTACCCAAATGCCACACAAGTGCGGCTAAATGTCGTCTTCTGGCAGCGGCCAAGGCAATAGGCATCAGGATACATGACCCTGACCTATGTGTGCACAAGAAATTTGTCCAGGCACTAACTCTACCCTGGTCCCATATAACACCGACACGTGGTGTTGACAACGCCCACACACACAAACACACTGTTGATCGCCGCGGGGCCAATCATCTAGCTTGGTCAGTCAGACCATCTGGGTTTTGAACCTCTACCCTTATCTGATGTTTCGTTCAGGTCATTCATTTGTGGCGTATTAGCTTGATGAAGAACCACTGAAAACAAGCTTGATCGCTAAGCTTTTTATACTTTTTTCGAATAACTATTTGGGATCCATTTTATGTAATGTGAACAAGTAGTTATTGTATACGATCTTGTCTTACAAATACTATAACACTCATTTGGGCTGTGCCTCGCATCTTCTAGGAACACATCACACTCCATTATTGCATACCTATTCGAATCCGCATTATGTACTACAAAATTAGTTCTCTTATCCGTCTGTTACATAAAAGCAGTTTTTCCACCGTCATAAAAATTTTTCTTGTAATACAGGACACAGTGGAAGCCTTTCGCGCACTATTTAACAGGTGTGCAATGCGTTACTTACACGTCGTTTGGCATGATTGCAGTTGAAGTATTTAGCTGTATTTTCGCATTTGATAACGGACTACGTGCTTATCTCCTTGCATAAGACAAATGTTTGTACTGTTCCTTTTACTATTGATTAGTCCCATGACCTGAAGGTTATGTATTAGTGGAAACCTTGCTCCACCACTTTAACAATGTTTTAGCACTTGTCTGATCTAATGACGGTAACTTTGTTTTGAAATTCTTGCACAACGCCTCTGATACTGTGTTCCTCGAAGTCGGGGGTGAAATAAAACTGTAGGTGGATATTTTTACAAGTGATGAACAGAAAGCTTTCCCACTCTCTGACAGAAACGGCGTGGCTTTCAGTTGGTGCGTGATTACGAAGAATGCTGCCCATACGCATGTCTTGGTGTAGAGCTTACTGAGCTAACAGTTTAATATCTATGGCAGACTAATTTTAGCGTTTATTGAATTAACTGGTAGCCCACTGCACTACCCGTCCTATGGAGCTCTTGGTCAAATTAGATGAGCGGCACGCTAGCTTATCCGAAACTTAGGTTACTTACTGGGTTTCTACTAAGACGGATTACAAAGTATGAACCGGAGTTTAATTGGTGACTTACACTTATTCGAGGATAAATAAAGTATTGAACAACCGCATTGTAAACCATTGCAACACTGCTTCCCCTTTACCCATTTAGTCAGTACAAACAGAAGACAAATTTGCGATATGTAAACGTTTCCACTGCTCTTCTCAGTCGCAAGCTCAGTACATTTATAAGTGGAACGAAATCACGTGGGTACATTGGAACTGTTATTAGCAACGTACACACAGTCTAACCCTGTGCACACTCTATTCCAAACTGTGGTGATCTATCTTACGCTTCAGATAATCATAAACGGCGCTGAGCTTGTCTTGGCAGACCCAACATATCCGAGTTCTCCATCAATAGAGACACTGCTACGATGGGACAACACGGAATACTGGTCAAACGTATCGCAGTGGCAAGGTCCACCTTGTGGACCCAGCTACAATCCTTGTCTTATGAACCCGCCTGAAAATGTATGTCGGCCCCAGGGCTCTGAAGCTGTATGCTCTTGTTCCACTCCACTACAGCTGTGGAGCATCATACACGAACGAATGGACTACGATGTAGAGCGCGCAGAAAAACTAGCTTGTGACCAGCGACAAGTAAGTTGAAGTGCCATTCCCTCTACTTACAGTGTGGCTTACTTACTATGACTGCCTCTGTTTCTGCAAGAGAGCATCAAATTATCCTCTCACTGGAATGTTTATGCAAAAATTTTATTACACTAAACATGGTAAAATTCACATGAAAATGAGTGAGAACTCATGATTTTAGAACGGACTGATAACACATATTAGTTAACTAGTTTGTGACGCAGTGTTACTTAATTCGGAGGCTGAGTTGGACTTCTGGAGAGATGCTTCGCTAAGTTTAATGACCGGCACTGGATTATAAAGCAGATGCGTGACACCCCTGAGACATGGTGACCAAAATCGGTGACCTCCCAAAGGAAGAGATAGACTAGCATTAACGAGATAATTAGGTACATGCGAACAACGAAAAGATCAAATAGCATTGCATCAAACTTTAGGGGCTGTTACACATTCTCCCCATCAGACATAAATGTAATGCCAGCCTTGTTGGCCGCCGTTTTCTACGGACCCAAAATATCGCATCCCTGATTCAGGTTTCGCATTTTGATAGTTGGCATGTATTAATGATTCTGGCATTGGATTTCATCGCGGTGCGATTCATCACGGGTTTCAGTGATCCAATTAGACATATTGGGTATTACATCTGGTAAAGCTTGTCCCAACACCTGGTCAACCTACTCTGTTACTGCGTGACAAACGGTCATTCCTTCGGATGTGAGGTAAAGCGCACTAAGTTGCCAAATGCCCAATAGTATATCTGGGTCTATCTCAACATGTCACACCCCGCACATGGGTGTGGAATGACCGCACCCATGCATGTGGGTACATGTGTATTTATACAGGTACCCAGCGTTGTACTTCGTGAGAACGCTGGAGCATGGGCGGATGGTTGAGTTGGAGACAACTAACGGCACTTCACAAGGAAAGTTCATTGATCGATAGATAGGCTGTGTACGGTTTTCTAGGATGGAGACCGGTGTTGTCAAAATGGAAAAAGCGGTGCCTCATAAAACGGCTACTGCGGTAGAATTGTGGTGGCGCTTCGACAGGCGTAACTGGCATGAGCAAGGCGTGTGCAATAGCTGCTTAATGTTATCCCAGTTAGTGACAAAAGGGTTATTTGCAACGCTCTTGTAGATTGAAAGTTACCTTCCAACAACCTACATTAGCAAAAAAGACATTCTTTACAATTAGGCCTTGCAAATATGAAATATGACGTTTTGAGAACGGAGTTTTGAAAAGCCATACCGCCTAAAGCCTACTCGCTGCCACATAGCCTATTCTCCCATCGCAGTATTGATCGCCGTTTCAGAAAACAAGTGTGGTTACGCTGCCCAAGTTGTTTCAGTCGGTACAAAGAGCTTTGCTTACAACATATTCACTGATGGGGCAACATTCTATTAGCAGGGAAGTGAGAAGCTGCGTTTCTAGGCAATATCTAATCCACGAGGATACTGCGAATCACGTATTGCACAAGGCGCGAAGCTCATTGACTTGAAAATATGAAGGACAAATCGTGGGACCATAACACACGCATGTGGGTTCTCAAGCATACTGTGCACCACAACCCCGTTACCCCTGTGCTAACTTTTCTGACACATTGTGCTGCAAACGCACCTTTGGCTCAAATCTGGTGACCGGGCAGGCCAATCCTTTGGACCTTTGCGACCGACCCACCGGTGATTGAACACCTCTTTAAGATAATGCCGCACCGTTTGTGTCTAATGGGCAGGTGCGCCATATTGAACCTATAAAGGTTGAAGCGAAGTGCCGAAGTATCCAACGATAACCGGTGGTGAAAACATTATCTTCTAGCTCCTACGTTCTTTGTCAGCGACAGTTCCCTTACCACTGGAGAATCATGATAGTAAGAGGAATGGCGGTAATCATAATTGGGTTACTTGACAAACACGAGGTTAACATCATATAGGAAACGAAAGTAGGTGTTGGAAGGTAACTTTCAATCTACAAGAGCGTTGCAAATAACCCTTTTGTCACTAACTGGGATAACATTAAGCAGCTATTGCACACGCCTTGCTCATGCCAGTTACGCCTGTCGAAGCGCCACCACAATTCTACCGCAGTAGCCGTTTTATGAGGCACCGCTTTTTCCATTTTGACAACACCGGTCTCCATCCTAGAAAACCGTACACAGCCTATCTATCGATCGATGAACTTTCCTTGTGAAGTGCCGTTGGTTGTCTCCAACTCAACCATCCGCCCATGCTCCAGCGTTCTCACGAAGTACAACGCTGGGTACCTGTATAAATACACATGTACCCACATGCATGGGTGCGGTCATACCACACCCATGTGCGGGGTGTGACATGTTGTGATAGACCCAGATATACTATTGGGCATTTGGCAACTTAGTGCGCTTTACCTCACATCCGAAGGAATGACCGTTTGTCACGCAGTAACAGAGTAGGTTTACCAGATATTGGAACAAGCGGTACCTATACGTTCACGCGTTCTAGTTTGGTCAACGGTTGTAGTCCATTCCGACTCAGTCTCCTGCTTTTCTATGTTGAGAGGCAGGAGGTAGGTGATTCCTTATTTCTAAAACGGACTCTCCGTTACGCACTGCCAAATTGCAACTACCCGGCAGCTTCGATTGCGAAGCCCAACGCTTCAAATGTCTAACAGAGGAAGACCTGCTAGTATTCTATCTATGCACTTCAATGAACTGCACACAATTTTGGTGTGCTCTGGCCGCCTCAAAGGATGATTCTAAAGCTCCCATCTGCTGCACAGTTTGGAATGTATAACGGTGAGGATGCTACTGCTCTGACTACCCCGTCTTTTCTCACCAATACTGTCCCCTTCCGAATTCACGTTTATCCCCTCCTCTATCTCCCCAATTTCTGGCCACCCCACTTTGCGTTGATAATCGTTTTCCTTCTAGTTCCAACGCATAGTCGGCCGTACCTGAAGTATAACGGCAAATATTTTGTAAGGACCTGTTCAGACGCTCGATGAGCCAGTAAAAGCAGAAGTAATTCTTCTTGCTGTACTCTTCCCTGTGTCGCCCCTCTTTTGTCTTTCTATTGTTCTCCTCCGTCAAGACATTTGTTTGCGAATGGTAGGGGACGGCTTGCATCTGCTTGTTACCGGCTTTCTTTAGGCTGGCACGGAGCCTCTTATTGTCGAAGCACATTCCCTAGTCTGTTAATATGGCCTTTAGAATTCTGTTATTTGCTATTACATGTTCCATGACAGCATGAGTAGCGCTGCTGCCCCATTGATCTAGGATTCCTATGGTTTTACTCCAGTACGTGCAACGTCCACTGTATCGTTTACCCCTTCTTTGCGATGGAAACAGTCACATCACCTTGATCGGCAGGAACACTGGAAGTGACAAATGTCGGCGAGGTACGCTGTGGTCCAGTTAACAATTGAACGTACGCCATCATTTTTCTGTAGTCAAGTGATGTACTAGGGGACTGAATAAGGGGCTATCTCGGCAGGTGTGGAACTAAACCGAAATGAAGGCACGTCTTTTGTGTGTCATTAAACATGAAGTAGATTCCCTGGAGTTCAACAAGGCCGTCATCGACCTAAAATGTGGGAAGCTGTTGCCTGAATATAGTTCTCTATTACTCATTGGCCGCGAAAGAACTGTGCTCGTGTTCTAATGTTACACATGAGCCCGGCGTCCCAGTCACTTATCAGCAACTACTACCCCATGTTTGCGGATGTCGACAGCTCGTATTCCATTTTGTGACTGGATCGAACATATCATTTCGCTAAACCGATCAACGTGTCTCCCACAGGGTCCTCAGAGGATACCAAAGCATTTTAGATCAAGTCAAGAATGTGGTTTAATGAACTTATAACAGCTGGATAATTAGCTGGAATGCGTATTCCATCCACATAATAAAATGGTAATGCAATAACGGCGAAACAGCATAAAGCGAAAATTATCCATGAATGACATGATTACGCTATTTAAATTTGCTCCTCGGCTCTTGGAGAAGTGAACTTTGGTCAAGTAAAAACCTGAATAGATGGGGAGTGGTCGACCAACCACTTACCCAGGTAAGGGCATCCAGTGATCTGTGCCTTTGTCGAAGCAAAGAGTTCGGCAGTGCACTGTGCATTTGGTGGCTTAAGATTATTATTTACGCTTTTATGCAGGAATAATGTCCGTAGATACAACAGGTTGAGCCACAGTTGGTGGAGTGCCGCTTCAGCAAAACAAGTACTCCAAGAACTTGTTAAGCAGCTTAAAATGGTTACACAATGGGCCTGGAAAAATCACAGGATAGGACCAAGTTCTGTGAGGCAGAATACATGTAGTGATGAAGTTTAGAATCAAATTATATGCGATGGAGGATGATTGCAATCGGGGGGTAAAAATAAATTCGCACGTGGCGACCACTATAAATTGTAGCTCAGTGCTACTCCAGGGTATGTTACTAACACTGAGAGGCTCGAGATTGTCAACATGTTTCTGTAGGTTAGGACAGTTCGTGCCTACTTTCTCACAACAAGCTGCCTTATGAAATGAAAACAGAAACTCACTCCACTTGGGTGCATTTAGCACCAACTACTGAGAGGTTACCCATTGAAATAAATCGTTCATACAACTATGCAGCTTGGTTGTAGAATCTGAGGTTGGCTAACTTAAGCCGATTGCGTCGTCGACATATTTGAGCAGAATAGTCCCTTTGGGAACAGGTACTGGGTTAAGTAGGTAGTGGTTAAGAAATGTGAGAAGGTATCCCCTATAAACACACTGTAACGTATGGCTTTTCGCCAATAAACCAGGTGACCTGAGTATAATTGGTGCAATAATCGTCGCTTCCAGTTCCCCGGTATTCCATAGAGGAATCAAAATCCTCTTAACCGGTCTTCCGAGCATTGAACGCAACGTCCACTGGCATCTCGCGCGAGCTCCAGGCTGGTAAATTTTTCCACGCTTTAACGTTGCAAAGTGTTGTTGGTGTGGTAAATATCGTCGAACATTTGGAGCAGCTCTGATCACCGCTGGTTACAATTATAGTTGA